TCTTTAAATGGCACTCATGGAAACCATGCCCTCCACTGCACTCCGTATATGTTCTGCTATATAGTTTTCAGTTCAATTTTTTTATAGCTGTGCCAGAAGGCGTCTGTGTTCTGTGGCTAGTTTGGCTGCTGGTCTGCTTCACCCTTTCCATAGCTTTTCTTTTTCCTTCAATTTTTAAGCACAATCTGAGAACTGATGAATGCTTTATAGTTCTTGGACAGTAATGAAACCTTTCATGACAGTGAAGAGTTGTGAAGTATATATCCAACCAGCCAGCCTTTATCTTTGAGAATATACCTATGTTATGACAACTGGAGACTTTTTCTCACTAAGGCATGATCAGGTTTGGAAGGAGCTAGTTCCTTGAAACAAAGAATAACATTTGATTTGCAGTGTCAGAAGAGCAGGAAACCTTTTATTCCAGTTCTAGTTATCATGAAGATAAAAAGAGGATATGAAGATAAAAAGAAATGTTTGGATCACTTCAATTTCAGTATTTTCAATATTGCCCATAAAGCAGGTTTATATAACTGTGTTCTGTGTCTGTAATTCTCCCTGGTCCCAAGCCTACTAACCAATTTTGAGCTCTCTCCATTTCCAAATGTGCTTATACAAAGATCTAGTTAAAAGATTTTTGAAAATTATGGACTGGGATACATGAATCAGTACATCCCAAGGCAAAACAACATTAATGATCACCTATGTATTGTGTTTAGTCTTTTACCAAGCTAATGAAGGCATGTGTGTTGGCTTCTAGTCAATGTAGACATACCTTCAAACAGGAACTGCACGTTCTGCCTCTCTTTCATACAGTTTAGTGTAAATGGGAGGGAAACAAGGGTAAAGAGGAGCTGGGACGATAGTGATAATGTTAGGATGCAGATCTGGAGGTAAACAATATTTATTAGTTCTGTTAATTAATCTTTATCTAAAATGTGTTCAAATTACAGATGTACTCAGATCATGGATAGGATTGGAATTTTTTTTCCTATTTGTGCTTAAGTGCAACATCCCAGAATATATTTAACCAAGTTAATATACCAGGTGGAGCTCAAGCAATTGATCTTCAAAATACCAGTCAGCTCCACAGGCAGACTACCTTTTCCAGATTGCAGCTGAATTATGTACGAAGCCTACTAAGAGGCCGTAAAATTCACAACCACCACATGCAAGAATATGGTTCAGGATATGTTTGCTTTAGAGCATAGTGTTTGTTGGGGTAGAAAATTATATGGCTGTGAGACCTAGTAGCCCCAGAAACGTCTTAAGTCTCAGTGCATCATGTGAACATGTTTCCTTCATAGGGACAAGAACATGGTACATCTAAGAAATGTATTCTTCAGCTAAGCATGGTAGTTATTAGGTAAATGTATTTCAGAAAAGCAACTGAGGAAATAAGACTTGCTCTTGGTATGAGAGAGTTTTTCAAGTGCTCCTGGTTCCTTCTGTGGGGCAGCAAGGGACAAGACAGCATAAAACAGACCTAAGCTGATGCATATGCTAACTGCCATGGTACTGAGTCATGGATTTTCTCGTGTTGCTTTGTATGAATTTAGTCATGTTTAAACAATCAGTTTATAATGTTAGAAGTTTTTTATTATGTCAGAATAAAATCTCTTTATTATGTCAGAAAAATAAACTATATTGGCAAAAAAGGCTATTTCAGATGGATACTTAGATAGGTTTTCGTCTCTGACAGCCAAAATCTTTATCAGCTTCAGATGAAACCATTTTTCCTTGATCTCTTAATCTGCTTCATTCTTAGCAACAGTTAAGGCATACCACAGTGCCTAATTGTGTTGCACTGATAGTGTGTCTGTCTCTGTTTTGGACTGAGCTTCTTGGGTGTCAACAGCTAGTATTTGTAATGTCTCCCTTCCATATAGTGCCATGTAAGAAGGTTTTGTTCTGTGTTTGACTGCAAGGCAGGAACTTTTTTCAGTGTTACATGAGGGTATTGAAGTAGCTTGTACTTTATCAGTAGTACTTGGAGAACTTCTCACCCCTTATTGTCTTAACCTCTGTTTTATTTTAGGGTAAAATACAGTCTCTGTGTAAAATATACATTATGTGTGATTATATAAAAGCAAATGTATATAGCTAAATGTCCCTGTCTCAAATTTGTCTTTGCCAATTATTATATAATAACCATGAACCAGTAGCGCAAGTGACAGGCATTTGCAGTGATTCCAGAGGAGAAAAATATTAAATAGCTTAAAAGAATATTGGTGCTGGTTTTCTCTTTACCTACAGTAAAGGTGAACAGTAAAGTACACAATTTCCTGGATTTCAGCTTTGTGGATGATGTGATAGCTGCCTGGTGATACAACAGCAGGATGAGGTAGCAGCATGTATCAGTGTTAGGATGCGAAACAGGCAAGCTCAGGGAGTTTGATGAAATGCTTAGGCAGGATTTCATGATATCTTCCAAACTGTGGCTGGCACTTGTTTTCAGAACAACAGAGATTACGCGCCACTATAAAAAGTTCCAGGTAGTACCTGGGAGCCAGTTGATCTTGGTGAGTGAAAGGAAGAGATACCTGGAAATGTTTTGGCCTGCAGATTTATTCATTTACAGAACTCACTTTTTAAATGAAGGTTGATTTTATTTATTTTTTTAATTAGTATAATTGGGCAATATTTTGAGATGATCACATATAATCAGCTCTTCACTAAAAAAGAAAGACCTTTTTGCCTTAGCCAGCTTAAACATATGAATAACTGTATTAGGAAATTAAATCGGCGTAATAGTTTAACTGTTCAGTAATTTGTTTTCAAAATAGCACCTTAATTCGAAAATAAGATTAATTAACTATTTGTTGTGGATATCTGAGTTATAAAATTAAGAATTCAAAATAACATCTTCTTTTTTAGAAAAATCCTTTATATAATTCTCTTAGAAGTAAATGGAAATAATTTGTATCTGCATATGTGTGAAATGCATTGGCTTGCTTGTCAGCTCATGTTTGTATTTATACTTTCTCAGAACCTTTCAGTAGTGTTCTGTTTTCATTTTCTCCTGTCTGTCAGAAATCTTTGTCTTTGGTTTGAAAGTTTGCCTGCTTTCTTTCTGGTTAGACGTAAGGAAACTTTGACAAAAGTAATTTTCTTTTTTTACTGAAACATCTGTTATAAATCTGTAAATTTAATGAAAGCACTAAATACTAACTTAAAATTATAATCTTCATGTAGTTTTCATATCCATAAAGCTTAATTTTTACAACCATAGTAATACGAGTTTATTGTATACAAGCGTATCTTTTAAACAAGCTGTAAGAAATCTGAAAATCTAACTCTGTACATAACCATTCTCATGAATAGTGTTTACCAGGCTTTTGCAGTTCATTTGCAAAAAGAAAGTAAATAAAATAATTTGCTCAAAGGTGTGGCTTGCATCTTCTGCTTAGCTGCTGAAACACATAGGTACAATTGTTCTATTTCTGCAACTTTATTGAAGTAACTACATAAAAGTTTTCATAGCTTCCATTACCTTTTATCTTGGAGGGTGTACTGACCAACCACTGAGAGAGAGACAGAAACAACTGTCCTGAAATTAGAAACATTTGTTCTCAATTTTGTCAATAATTGTAGATATTATGTTAATTTACACTAAAGAAACAAAACTAGTGCGTGTTGTTCACAAGATTACATATTGAACTGTATACAGGTTTTCTCTCCTGGATTCTTTAATACTGAATTAGCGTAATACTAAACCCAAAATGGATTCACTTAAACTTTCATTGACTTCTTTCTATGTGTGTCTGTTTGTATCATGTCTGCCTACATAAATCTGTGAATGTCATTTAGATGTTTATGGTCAGTATCGGTTCTGCCTATGTTCAGTGTTACATGTGTATCCCATACTTAGATCGAGATTCTTCTAAAGTTTTCAAATTTGGTTTTCTTATGTCTTCACACCTAATACCTTGTAACAGAGATACTGGCTAGCTCTGTGTATTTTTAACCCCTGAGACCACATCTCAGTTCTTTCTCAAGAGTCTTTGCTTAATGCAAAGTTAGTTTTCAAATAAGTCTTGATCTATTTTAAGCAGATAAAGAATTCCTGTACCCTCCAGCTTACACAGATGGGTGATAAAGTTGGGTCAGAAAACTTGATTGCACTTCATTCCTTTAGTAGATGTAGAAGCCCAATGCATAAATTCTGAATGCTGTGCTTGATATCTACCCAGTGCTGTTTATATTTTCAGCTATGCAACAAAGAGAGAAAGCAGAAAGTTTGTAATAAAACATTGTTCCTAATCTAGGTCTAAGTCAAAGCTCCAGGTCTGTCTTTGTAGAACAATTAAATCCACCTGTGTGCAATGCTTTTTTTTTTTTTAAGCCAGAAATGTTTGCATTAGAAACTTCTAAAAATTCCAGGATAAAATACTTGCCACTTCCTTTTACTTCCTTGTTTGTGTTCATGAGGTATCCATCATTAGTAGATATCATACCTAATGGTTAGCAGAAGAGAAAATTCAAACCATCCTGCCACAGTTGTTTTCAGCCTGTGTCTGTAGGCTATTGTGGTCTGTTGAATACTTTTGAAAGATTTATGGAAGATAACAAAGAAAAGTGATCTTATTATAAAACAGGCTTATATTCACTATGCAGGGAACTTATCTATTCTCAGAAATAGAATAGTTTAGGAGTTCAACCTTTAAAGAAAGATTTAAAAAAAAAAAGGAATATGGATGCTGCTCAAGATGTGTTGTTTGTGTAAAGCAGAGCATACAATTTGATAATTCCATTCTGCATTCTCTTATATTTGTATAATTCATTTTTCCCATAATAATTACATGGGTTTTTTCATGCTCAGTATTAGTAGGACCCAGTCATTCAGAACAGTTATTTTAATCAAGTTTTGTTGCAGATTTTGCAACTGTCCCATTATATTAAGATAACTGTATTAGCTAACTTTGGGGCGGGGGGGGAGGATGCAAATCTGAACTGCTGTTTCTACTGTAGATAGCTGAAATTCTTTTGCTCTCCACCTGTAGGAACTTCCAGCCCCTTTGCTTGATGATACCTACAGAAATGAACGGGGAGAAGAAGCAACAGCTGTTAAGTCTGAAGATTTTCAGGATTCTATGAAAATAGCCTGGCGCTACCAAAATTTACCAAAAGTGGAGGTAATCAGTATTTCATACTTTTTTCCTCTTGCAGTCGAAAAAAATTTGCAGAGCAAATGCTTTTCAGTAGAATCTAGACAACAGAACTGCTAATGGACACTGTTATAGGATTGCCTCCTGAAGGTTAATTATCATACAGCACTGCATTTTTTATTAGTGAAGATACAGAGAGAAAGGGAATTTGAGAGTTTGCAGAAACTATAAAATTTAATGCAGACAATAACAATTTAAAAGTAAAAAACATTAAAGTTCCATGGGATTTTTCAATTAGCATTATTAAATTGAGACAGCTTTTTATGAAAGTTTGAATAATTTGGTCACTTACAAATTACTTAAGTAGGCTTAATCAACAGTACTTACTAGACCTCTGTAGTGAAAGTACTGTGTCGAAGCAAGCTGTTGACCTGCTTATCCATGTGCATAACAACTAAAGTAAGCACTTGAGATTATATCAGCTTCACTGTCACTAGAAACTAATCACTGTGCAGGGAGAATATAAGAAACAAGCCCAGTGGTCAGTCTTTCAGAGTTTACAGTTGTTAGTGTTTTGTGAATAATGTATCTCCCATGGCTGGTGACTTTCTTATTTAGACCAGTGGCACAATCAACCTTTAATAAAATTGCAGCATTTTTTAATATCCAGAACAAAGACCTTGTTTTCTCTATACATTTTAGCCTACATTAATAAATTCTGGTTTAGATGTAGTCGTAACTGCCTAGTAAGTCCAGTCGTATTCGTAAAAAACATAATTGGAATGTGACAAAATGATCTTACAAGGCTTGGCATGTCTGGTTTTCTGTGAAATTGCACAGACATGGCTATATAGTTGTGTCAGAAAAGACTTATATATGGTGACATGCCAAATCAAACAGCCTCCAGGGTAATCATATAATCTCATCAATTTTATTATTGTGGAGCTTGCTGTGCCACTCTGAACCATCCCCAAAATAATTTGTCTGTTTTAAAATCCAGCAGAATTCCTCGTACATTGATATGGAAAGAATTGCATGTTGTTTAACAAATAGTGTTCTGATGTCCTAACAAAATAGAAAAACATAAATAATCCAGTTAGGTGTGCACTCATCTTCTATACCTTCATAGAAGTAATCAATTCTTCCACTAATATAATATTTCTCTACAATACATAATGTACTTGTCCTCAATTATTTGAAAGTTGATTATGCAAGATAGAATAAAATGGTCATTCTTTTGTGGGTTGTTTCCCTTGTTGTCATTGCTGCTTGCTGAATTGGATGCTGATCATTCTGAATAGTTGAGGTACAATAATTTTTATGTGTATGTTAAATTTATAAAAAAATTAAAACTTGCAAATAAAAGTTAATTCTTAAGCTAGCTATACATCCCTAAAATTCCTCAGGATATTCTAATTAGTGAAGGATAGTTTTGAAATTTATATTTTTCAATATTTTATAATGCACTTATCATAAAATTTTGGTGGTGTGCTAAATTAATTTGATTGGTGAATATACTCCATTGAGGAAAAATCTGATGTTGCTTTGCAGCACCCTGGATGTTTAATACACTTAATACTATCATTTAATGAATGACTTTGGCTGTGATTTATTCTTTAAATTTACTTTTGGCAGAAAAAAAAATAACACTGAATAAAATATCAAGGCATATTTTCCAAACTGATTGAACTAATAAACTAGTGCATTTTCAAAAACTACTGTCAAATAGTTTCAAGCATGAAAGAGAGAAAATAGCTTTGCTTTTAACTAGAACTCTAAACATGTTAGCAGAAAACTTTTCCATCCAGTATCTGGCTTTACATATGAAGTAAGAATGCTGAGTAAAAGCTGTCTTTGATGCTTAATTTAGTTTTTATTTCTAAGTAATAAAAGAGATTTTCATTAATAGTTCAGATATTCCCTTCCCATTTATTAGACCCCCTATATACTAGCTAGATAACTCATTTTTGTTCTTATGCATGGTATTTATATTAGTACTCTTCATAACTATCACAGTTTCTATTTACATATTGCACATACCTTGTATATCGGAAAAAGACAGAAGATTTATGAGAAATCTGTCACAGTAACAGGTCATGTTGTGCTTGATGTGCCTTTGCCAGTTTGTTACTTTCATCTGTATCAGAGGTTAATTTCATTTAAACTTTTGAGTATGTGGATAGCCTATTTTGCAATGCAAGACAGTGTGTTTTTTTCCTTTTTTTTTCTTTTTTTTTTTTTTTTGAATGAACTGCTTATGTTCTTGGGGCAATATATAAACTGTCACAGCATGAAATCAATTTTCTGCCTTGATTCATCCTAAATCTGAGATTTCTAGCACATTAGTATTGCAATTAGAAACATTAACAGCAGACGGTAGCATAAAAGCACACTCTGCTCACTGACAATTTAGTGTATTTCTCCTTGTGCAAAACAGGAATCCAGGAAAGAACAGGCTTGAGCCTCCAATCCACTAATAAATTTATCAGATCAAACTTAAGAGGAATGGAAAGTCTCTGCTTCGCACTCTCCATGGTCATTCTGCTAAGGCAGATTATTCATGCTTACTTGATTCAGGTAGGCTTTTTGCAAGCTTCCCCGCTAAGCCTGGGAATGCAGTACATTGAGGCCTATTCATAGGCTTCTGACATAGACCAAGCTTTTATTGCATGGTGTTTTATTATAGCCAAATCCTAGTCTCCACCCAGTTTGTAGGCACTGTGCTTATTCTTTTGAATCAAGAGAGGTTATCACCTACCTTAATCCATGCAGCAGGGTGGATTAAGGACACCAATGTGCCTCAGGATTCTCAAAGAGGATCCTGGAAACTTCTTGTTTCTTCTTTTTTGCTGTCTTTACTAAACTCTATTGGGCCTCAGTAAGGATTTGCATCTGAAATGGGCAACCTGGAGCTTTTCTCAATGAAGACATCAGATCAAAGTTCAGTTAGTCAAGGCCTTTCTAAAACATTAAGGGGGCTTGGAAGTACACAATAAAAAGATGAGCTCTGGCAGAGATTGCAGTAAAAACATTCTGATCTGTAATCCGGATAAAGAATAGATTATAGGCCAAAGAACAGCCCCTGTTTAAATTGCTTTCAGAATCTTCATTTTAAATAACATTACATTTTACATTAAAAATATTTAGATTTTGATAGATTGTTATGTTTTGTTGGACTTCCTTCTTTAAAAATCATGTGCTGATAAATAAATTGAAACACTGACTTAGAGAATGTGTTTTTCTATCTTTTTTTGTGTAAAACTGATGTGCCTTTTATGACTAGATATACATGAGCAATTTTGTGGGTTTTTTAAATTAAAAACTAATTATTTGTTTTAATGAAAAGTTTGGGTTTAGTTTGGTTATTCTATTGGTTTTGTAGGAAAGATATTGTATTATTGTTACTATTTATATTCTGTGATAACTGACCAGGCCTCACATCCATTAATCAAGTAATTTCAAAATATTTACCCTAAATCAAATTATTGTAATTAATCTTAACAGTTTAATATATTTTTGGTAAGCTGAAGCATGAAAGAAAATTGTGGAAGTACATAGCATGATTGAGTTCAGAAATCTAATTATAAATACATGGCCATGTCTGGCATGTCTGTATTCTTTTTTTTTACTGTTATAGTTCTTATTTTATTAGCAAGACCAAGGTTTATGAAAAGCACAAGCTTTCTGTAATAATTGGAGTGGGAACTTAGTAATTTGTTGCTGAACACACAAAAAATTATTGAGATGTCATTATTGTAATTACTCAGTATACCTATCGTCATTCCTGTATGTAGCAAGAATAGCAGATGTTGAAGTTGGAGCAGAAGTCGTTCCAAAGAATTTTCACTGCATACACACATAACCCTGCTCAACTTTCAGACAGCATATAAAATTTATATATTGGCCTGCTTAAAAGAAAAATCCTTTTACAGAATGTTCTAAGTTGTTACAGAACCTACTGAGAAACTTTTGAAATTATTGGGGGTATTTCTGGTCATTTTTCAAAAGTAATTCCATGTTTTTAAGTACAAAGTAAGTAGCATTTCATTTCACCTACCAATCCAAACTTCTCTTCAGAACGACCTTTAAAAGGCATTCTCTTCCGCAGTGTGAATATGTCTTCAACATCTGTCTTACTTTCAGCTCTTACTTTTTCTGTCTCACCTGTTCTCTTTCACAAGCATTGACATATTTCATTTTATTTTAATACCTTATCATTTAATATGTGAGGTGGCTCTTGGGTCTTATGGGGGGTTCAGCTTAGTGGTAAGTCTTGGAGTTGGGACACAGAAAAATTACTTAAAAGTATTTTTGCACATTCCTGCATTGTACAATGCACACTTCAGATGCAGTCCAGGCTTAGCGTGGTTGTCTTCAAAATAAACTAAAAGGTGATCTTTCTTTTCACCTGCAAAGCTGCTGTTAAAAGTCTAGGATCGAGCACCTTTCTTGGTCAAGGCGTCTTACCAGTTAGAAATACCGTGGTTTTGATTGATACTTGTATTATGAAACTTGTTTGGTCATTCTAAATGACCTTTTTCCTCAAAAGAGTTAGAACAGTCGATGAGAGATAATCTAATCAGGAGCACAGTGGTGTTTGTGCCATAACCTAAAGATCAATTTTAATATTGCTTTGGTAATCTGTTACTCCTTTACAGTGTGTACCTTAAAAAATACTACATAGTGGTTTACATTTGTGCCAAGTGTTTTCCTTCCCTGGAAGAAACTAACTTGCCTCTGAGGTTTACTCTGCTTGACTGTTCTTTCTAGGATAGCACTTTGGTTTTTAATGGGAAGGGCAGAAAAGATGAAGAAAATGGTTTGTTACATGAAGAGCTAAAACTGTTCAATTCCTGTAGCAGACAGCTATTACATACTTGAATACTGCATATTATAACAGTCTAGAGGATTTTTAACATTACATGTGTAATTCAAATAGTGTTGCAGGTTGCATGCTGAATTCCATTTATGTGGAACAAAAATATGCATTCATTTCCTCTGTTTATTTACTAGCAAAACATATTCAAAATGTGTAATTCCTGCTATGGTGTATATTAAATTTGGGAGGTTTATGATGTTTTATATACCCAAAATTGAGAGCTGATAAAAACGTATCTTCATTATAGTAAATGATGGTCATTGTGTGTAATGTCTGTGTAACACTTAACCTGCTATTTTTTTCAAAATTCAAGAAATTTAAAGTAGTTTTTAACTATTTCCTCTTTTTTACAATTTTCTATTAAAATCAGGTATGTGAAGATGCAATGGTATTTTTTATTACTGATCATAAATAAAGTGAAACATTTGCAATGGTATTTTTCTTACTGACCATAAATAAATGAAGTGAAACATTTTCAAAGTCAACTGAAAATGTTTCTGTAGCACCATATAATTCCCAGATACTGAAAAATCAGATAGACGGAACACATCATGGTCTGCACGTTTCATATATCTGGCCTTTTGTAATTTGTGATCATATGTCTAGAACGTAAAAAAATATATTCTCTTAAGTACCTGACTGCACTTGGTGATGCAACTTGGAACGGTAAGGGTTGAATTCTGTGTGAAAAATTCACATTATAGAATGTCAACAGGGGAACCAAAACTTAGTAGTAAATATTATAATGTTGTTCTACTTGAAGCTTATACTTCAGCTGAATGGGAAAAACCCCCGAGATTTCTTTCAAGTGTATAGCTAGTTAATTATTTTCTTTTGACAGATAATAATTTAATATGTTATTGTAATCAGTATTGTTGTTTTCACAGGCTAGCCCAACAACATCTACAAAGTTTGGCCATTATTATGATGTTTCTAAAACAATGTCTCCAGAACTGTTTCAGTCCATAAAATGGCACAGTTTTTACCTTCCTGAAGAATTGTCTTCACAGCCTAAAATGAAAACACGGTAAGTTGTAACACCGCATGCTTCTGTTGTGTGTTCAAATTTTGTCTGCATATTAGTAGTAAAGGATATTTTTGCATCTACACTTGCTGTGAAAAATCTTGTAGCCGCACATGGCTCACAAGCAGTTCAGCTGTGGTTCTCACGTCAGTGCTACATGCCATGACTGGCAGCAAAGCTGCGGTGGCACAGGGACAGCTCAGTATACTGACTCCTCAGCTGCGGGAGGAAGCAAGTTGGCAGGGACAATTAAGGCAGACATTACTAGGACAGCCTAGGACACAGCTGCATGTTCAGTCCAGCCCTACTGACAGCTGAGTGTGGGGACTGGGGAAAACTATCTGTCTGTGAACTACTCCCTGAGCACCATGCCCCATCAGCTTTCAGAGATGTGTGTGTCAGGTGGCTATCAGTCTTAGGAAGATATCCATACAGTTTTTAGGGCTAAGAAGACAGGCCATTCTTGACCTACATAGCTTAGAATGCTATATCAGATTAGTTTATTATGTGACTTTCACTTCTTACATCCTACAGCTTCACCTAAGGAAAATACAAAATACTGTGAATAGAATTACAATCACTAATTATGTCTTACACAACACCCCTAATTCCAGAGAAGATCATAAACTCTTCTCTGAATGAATAACTTATTATTGTTTATGTCTATCAGTAATGAATTAAGGAAGACCAAGAGAAAATGAGTGACAGTAGCAAAGACTCATATTAGCCTGTAGCACACACATCCATTGTATCTTTCTTGGAGACATTTCAAGTCAAGTCAAACATCAAATATGGGCTAGCAATCTCTTTGTTCAGCCCAGTCGCTTAATTTATATAATACCTAGTTTTATAGATCCCACTGTATAGGGCCAGCTCCTGGAAGCAGTAATAGTATGGTATGCTTTATTGTGATTGATTTTCATTACAGTACAGTCAGATATAAAAACTGAGATTTATGAAAGATGTGCAGTATGAAACACCTTTCTTAGAGCTGTAGAAGAGCAAAAGCCAAGTCTCTATGATTTGTTTCTGTGTGACATGATCAAATGGCACTGGTTTGAAAACACCTTCAGGAGAAAGCAGAGAACTTACATTCTATTCTTTCTGTAGTAAATATTTGAACCAACTTTATATATATATTATGTATAATTATTTTTTTTTTAGTAGCAGAGTCATAGAGGATAGACACAAGAGTATCTGACAGATAGGTTGCAAGTGCTTATATTGTTATTGAGCAGTTTAACTCCCTTTCTGTCTTTTCTCTAGCTAACTGGAATGTCTCATGACTGGGCTTAATTCCACTAACTATATGGCTGTCAAGTATTTGTACATTTTACATTAAAATCAAATTAACTCATATGTATAGTATTGGAAACGGACTTTAACTTTTATGCATTTGATTTTATAAGCAGTGCTTAACTCTGATATTTTCCTTGTGTGCTATCCTGATAAAAGTTCATCATTCTTACTATATGAATTCTATTCTTATTTTTAATTTTAATCTAATGGAAATATTGTATTTAGTTAATTTGCTTGGCAAATTGCTAGCGCACAGAGTGATGAGGTGAGGAACTTAATCAAATAAAGATGGATTTTGGAAGGCTTATTCTCCTTTTCTTCTACCTATACCCACAATATGGGTCTCTTTCAGGAAGCCTCTCTTGAGCAAATGAAAGAATTGTGGTGTTGGGAGTAAAGGCAGGTACCAAGGTAATAGACAACCACCACTCTAAACATTGTTTTCTTAGACCACAATGCAATGTGATAAGGGACAGGGAGGAATAAAGAACACATGGGGAATAGTGAACTCAGACAGAAATCTGTGGGAACTGTGAAGATGTGTACATCTGTTTCTTCATTTACAGTAGATCATTTGTCTTCTGACTTTGATTATTGTCTTTCCTGACAACAAACACCACTGCTTTTGGATTCCCTGTATTAAAAAGGTTGCACTAGGTAAAGTTAAGACAAGGTGGGAGGAATATTTCAGAATTACAGCCTCTGAAATAAAGATTATTACTCTGTAGAGAAATGGAAGATTTAAGCTTCCCATAACTACAGTCATTCAATTTTGACACACATTTAAAAAATAAACTGAATTAGAATTTCAACTTCTGTTCATCAGTGTTGTATAAATGGAGTTCTTAAAAAATCATGGAAGTGGAGAAAAGCTGTTTCTCCCATTACACTGATCCCCAAATTGATGTGCACCTAGCACAGTTAATATCAGCAAATTGGACTACCCAATTTACATAAGGAAAGACTGGGTTAGAAAATACATAAATGTTTTCAAGCTGGGACCTAATCAAGTTCATTGGTAAAATGTAAAGAATTGTCAAAATTCCACAAAGTCAAGTGTGGCCAAAGCAATACCTGTCTTTAAGGAGAGGAGAAGGTGAGGACATCTGTGGGATAACACCAGTGCTCCGAAAAGTACCAGAAAAAATAATATAATCTATTTTTAAGCTTCTAGGGTAGTTTCACCCAGTATGTGTTTCTTTTGTTTGCTTGTGGGTATTTAACTGGGATAGAGCCAAAAGGTTCTAAAATAAAATGGGAGATATTCTCCATTGATAAAGTCTGTTATCATGTCAAAGGAGGAACATAGACTGGTTTGACAGTTTTCTTTTTGTCATGTTGATTGTTAAATCCTTATCTTCTAAATAAGCTGTCATTGAGTCACAGTTGAACCTGAGTGAAGTACCTTTATCCCAGTGTTGGGTCTGGTGATAATCTGGTACTAATTTGGCTTGATATGTATCCTGAGCAATGGGTATCTTTCTTGTAGTCATAATGTCAAATTTGGAAAAAAAGTGGAATAATTGCATGCAGATTAGATAATAGAATTAGAATTCAAGAAGATTTAGGTCGATGATCTGGAATGAGCTGTATGGAATTCAATGAAGACATGCCGAATATCATAGTAGTAGGAATAATTAATTGAACAAATAAAATAGTGTAGCAGGTCTCCAGAATATAAAATGTATTCACAGTGTTCTGTGATTAATGCTGCCAAAAAGCATAATTCTTAAGGCATGTAGGTGATAAACTGGAATTTAACGTGGAGGATGTGCAAAGTACTTCTGTTCTGCTCAGCCATAACAAGGCTGTCCGGTTTTTGATAGCATCCTTCAGGAAAACTCTGGGTCAGTTAGAGAAGGCTGTGAAGATGCGTATACATCTAGAACTGGGATATATGGCCCATGACGGAAGAATGGAAGTTCTTAGACAAATCTAAGCAGAGTCTTGAAGCACATTAAAAACTGACATACAGAGGGTAGTAACTGTTGTCTGCTGAAGGTAGGACAAGCAGTAATGAGCTACAGTAAACTGTAGCAGTAGAAGTACAGGCTGGAAATAAGGAGCTATTTTTCTAATGATTAGCACGAGAAGAAGTTGCCTTGCAGACATAGGTTGGGAGTATTGTAGAATCTCCATCATTGAATATTTCTAGGGCCAAGTTAGGTAAATATCTGTCAGAGATGGTTTATATGTAGTTCAACTTGCCTTGGGGCAAGAAGATAGACTACCTGACCTCTTGAGGTCCTTTTCATCCCTATCTTCTGTGATTCTTTAATACACATTAGTCACAGTGTATTAAATCCAATACTAAGTATGAATGTTACCAAGTATTTCACTGCTCTCAAAACGTTTATGCTTTTATAGAAACCCAACAGGCTTGTACTGTATTTTTTACAAATATTGTGATGAGATTCTGAAGGAAGCATTCCTTTCTCAAGGAACAAAAACAAGCTCACAGTCCTGTCAGGATGATTTCATTAAAGAAAGTTTATAAAAGGGGGAGGGAAAGGATATTATTTTGTTGGCATTACTGTTTGGAAAATCAATACAATGCTTCTGGCTTCTAAAGCTAACTTCACTATATCATAGAATAGTAAAAATTTCTGTTCTAGACAATGATTTGAAAGAAAGTAATATGATAGTCACAGTTAACCCTTCCAGTAGAAGTCAACAATTTGTATTAGACCTCATCTTCAATTGCCTGAAGGTCCCACTGAGAGCTTGAGCTAAACTCTTTTACACTGGGTTACAGTGAACTAGGAGCATGGACATGGCTAGTTAGCATGTCTCCACTTAGAGGATATAATTTCTTAAACATAAGGTTCTCAGGCTATGGTCTTAGATGCATGGCCAAAAAACCATCTCATTGTATAATGCTAATTACCTATACAGCATTGTGAAAGCTCTGTCATCTATTAGGCTGGCAGTACCTCAAAAAGAGTACTGATAGACTGGAAGGAACTAAAAAAAAAGTTACAAAAATGACTTGAAATCCAGAAAATCTCTAAAAATATTATTTTTTCAATTTCCTTTATCTAAAGAAGATTGACAGAAAATGTGTTAACACTGAAAGCTGACAAATCCTTAAAAAACAAGGAGGCATTTTTAAGAAAGGGGATAGTTCATTATTGAAATAATTTACATTAATAGGCTATGTATTATGGGATCTTTGCAAAAGATTTCATGACTTTCTAAAGGGTATACTTTGCAAGATATTTATCAATAAAGACATTTCTGAATGAAGTTTTTGCTTCAATCGTGTAGGAGTGCAGACCAAAATCAGTGGGGGGGGTTGATTCTAAGAACGTTTTGCTTTTGTCACTAATACAGAGGTTGAGGAGGAAGTGGAAACTGATAGTTTTGCCTAATATATAATTTTCAGTAAGTAAACGGCATTGTTGTTGATATAGTACCAACAGTATGTTGTTACAGTATCAGAAGTTGCAAAAAATTAGGAATTAGCGAGAAAAAAAAAAAAACCAAAAAACTTCTTCCTCTTCTCAAAGTGTTTCCACATTATTTTAGCTAGCATGATCCATTCTAAATATTTGTAATGTTGCAGAGCACAGCATGGCTTAAGTTCAGGCTGAAATAAATTGTTATAGTCCTGTAACTACAGCCATTGAAGAGCACCTTAAGTTACGTAGTCATCATGGAAAGTGTACCTAACCCAACATACACATTCTACGTTGAGATCATAA